TGTATGTTCATCTCAAGTCCATCTGTATCCTCATCATCCACAAGGGCACCCGGGCTAATATCCCATAGTTCATTGCAGTCAACATATTGTTTTTGCCAGGAAGTTGTTGTCCTGGCATGTGTTAGACATAAACATATATATTTTACATACAAGTTAACACTAATATGTATGGATATATGTGTACACATTTACATAATACACGCTACTGTTCAGATTATACCGATGGATGCTGAAGGTATAAGTTGTACATTGGTTCTATGAGTCAAATAATAGTTTATGGTATTTTCTACTCTAGAAAATATATATATAATCATATCGCTATACCGAAAATAGGGCGAGACATGTATTGAAATTTAGTATTTTTTTCACTAAGAACCTGAAATGTTTGATTACATCCACCTCGGTTGGAAAATGCGCCTAAACCATAAAAATGTCTGAAATACAAAAAATGAACTTATATTGAATAATAATTGTCAGGATGTCTGTAATGATCCAGGAACCGGAAATACCATATGGAAATGGTACCGTTTTATGGACCTTGTAATTCTAATGGGAGAAAAGGTGAGAGGAGAAACGTATTTTCAAAAAAGAAGAAATAACAAGAAAAGCGTGAGAAAATCGAGATATACAGGAGTCAGAATGAAGTCCGGACATTTTACCAACGGGTAAAACACCAAACCGAAGCCTACGGTGCAGGCAAAAGGATCTGGAAGGAGCATTTTGAAAAGCTTCTGGTATAAAATAGTGGCGGTGAAGAAGATACCCCCCAACAAATAAGAGATGACGGTATAGATTGTATACCACCTAGCCAAGCTGAGGCCAGAGTAAGAATTAGTCGGCTGAAGAACAATAAAGCAGCAGGTGCCGATGAATTACCAACTGAACTATTCAAGACCAGTGGTCTGATGCTGGTCAGGAGCATGCACCAGCTGTCCAATGATTGGAACCTCACCATTCTTACCCCGAGTACAAAAAATGAGACAAGACGATATGTGCCAACAATAGAGGTAGAGGTCTCCTTCCTATCGCATATAAAGTGCTATCCAGCGTGATGTGTGAACGACTGAAGCCAATGGTCAATGACATTATTGGACCATACCAATGCGGCTTCAGAATTGGCAAATCCAGCATTGACCAGATGTTCACTTTGGGGCAGATCCTGGAAAAGACCCACGAAACAGACATCGACACATCCCACCTATTCGTCAACTATAAAGCCGCATTCGATAGCCCGATACGTTCAGAGGTGTTTAAAGCCATGTATGCGTTCGGCATTCCTGCAAAATTTAATACGGCTATGCAAGATAACTTTGAGTGGCACAAAGTCAGCAGTTAAAGGATCGAGTTGCATCGACTACGTTAGCTAGGTCATGTTGTGATAATGGATGGGAATTCGCCCACTCAAAAAGCATATAAAAGCAAGCTATGTCGAATACCACTGCCTCTGGCAAAGTTTTGTAGTCGAAATATGTTCCGATTACTAACCCGAGCCAAAAGGTACCGTAGAAGGCACCCTCAAACCAACTGACACTCAAGAGGGTGATCGACTGGCGTAGGACTTTGCCTCAAAGACCGATACTGCTCCAAAAAACAAATGTCATGCGGATAAAAGTAAAGTGTCCAGTACCTCTACTGTCGGTATGGACAGGAAGATGGTCAAGTTAGCTATAAATATAAATCTATGAAGCGCATCCACATTCCTTCGAAGTTCCACATCCTTCACACAAGGAGACGATGACATAGCCTCTGATTGACCTACCAACCTCGTCGATGATCGTAAAACCAAGGAGAAACAACCGAGTACATAGAAGACTTATATTTCCTCCGAAAAAGTCAAATCTAAAGCTCATGGTCAAGCCATACGCCAGATCCTGAGTGAGTAGGGAACTCCTAAACCAACTGGACAGAAAGATTAAAGCGGGAACATACTCCCAGAATAATTGCTACACAATCTAACACTAACTGAACACTACGGTGATTCTTGTCAAATCTACTCAGGAAGATTGCTGTTACTCTAACGAAGAGAGCATCAACCCTGATGCCTAACTGAAGGCAGGTCTAACACTGATAGGTCCTGTGTCGGCACATAACGACAATAAGCTTCAGGCAACTGAATCTATGTCCGATGATGGGGAATCTTACGAGACCCTGACAACGGTTAGCAACTCCAAGGTCAGACCTGCCCCAGAAGCGCAAAAAACGTGCCGTATCTTCGCCAGTTCGCCAAAAATATTCCTCCTGAATCAAGCAATTGCCCGACTGGAAACCTTAAAGGCATCCCGGGAAACGAACAAAGTAGTACAGCCGGCGAATCGGTTCTGAAGCCTAACCTGTCCAAAAGGTCCAGGAAAAGGCGATTGAGTGCCCCCGTAAAGACGATTGAGTGACACCAATAAGGCGAAGAACTACGCCTCAAATACCGTTTCCTTGACTTGGCCGTGACTTGGCGGCTGGTTGGCATATCAATCTCGTATGCGACCGACGTAAAACCAAGGAGAAACAACCGTGTACAGAGGAGGAAAATTCAAATATAGGAAAATTCAAAGCCATATGATAGACCCTAAAGTTAGAATCATCTATAGTCATTGGTTGATCATTGAAATTGGTCTTCGGTCAGCCATCATCTCTGGAATGGAAGATCAGGGCGATTGTCCGTTTGGCAGCGTCTTCGTGCAAAAGGTTGTCAATTTAATAAATTGTTTGGACGGGAAATTGCGGAATCGCGAGACAGACGTAGCTTCATTATCTAGACGAAATAATAGATGAGCTTAAATGATATAGCATAACTTGGATACATATTAGGTATAGCTATGGATTTTGTTGGGAAGAATGTTTAATCTCCCATCTACCAAATAGTCGGTGTATTTTTCTACAAAGTATATGTTCCACCATTTGTGATTTAAGTTTAAAGACAAAAAACTTCAATACTACACTTCACTACGAATTTTTTTCATTCCAGTTATTTTTCTATTAACCAACCCACTGTACATGCTAGTTTGTGGCATTCACAAACCGAGGGCTCAACTTGTTTTGTGGTCTCTTCTGGCATCGAATAGCAATAAAATTCTTAACTTAAACCATGTAACAGATTAACATCCGCGGCTACAAAACCCGGTGACATTTATTACACAGCCCCAAGGAAACAATATTAACACAAAAGGGTCTACTGTCACACACACACGCTGTACGTATAGACATACAAGGGATTTCCACTCCATCATTATATGTGTAGGCGGCATAAGGCCTTTACCACCATGAATGTATAGAGAACATTATTTTTTCGTACGTTTTAAACTCGACTATGATGCCGTTATGTGTAAAGATTTAGTAGAGTCATTGAACAATGAAATAAATTGGTATTGTAGCGAAGGTTATGATATTAACATCAAGGCGGGAGGAATAAAGTCAAGAGATACACGTCGTCCATTGTTGTTGTTGTAGCAGCTAGTACTGCTGTGTATTTCAACTGCGTCCGTGTGAAAACTGTTCAATCCTGCTTGATAGGCCTGTTGATCTAGAGGCTCCCTTTTGTAACTCTGGACCTCTCTCTCCAGATCATGGAGATCCTTCCTGACATGCCTGGGTGGTGGGTGCCTATCCATTAGGTAGCGGTTCGGATGGCTGCTCCTATAACACCCAAGCAAGTATTGCATCGACAACATCTTGTTGTGTTGACGCACAGGAAGGATTTTCGTCACCTCATGCAAGTTGTCTATTGGAGTCATGAGGAAACACCCTGTTGCAGTCCTCAGGCCGGCATTCTGGCAGGATTGAAGATTTTTCCACTGCGTTGCACTGACGTTAGCGGACCACACTGGCGCCACATAGTTTACCATAAACCGGCCTATTGCTTTATAAGTCGTTAACAAGGTTTCCTTGTCAACTTCCCAAGTACTGCCGGCTAGCGACTTGAGAACCTTGTTTCTGCTCCTGACTTTATCGCAAATAGCTGTGGCATGCGCTGACGAATTGTATAAGCTCGAATGTGACCCCTGGAACCTTGGGGTAATTAGTGGTCGGAATTGTGGACCCCTCGACCTGCACATTCAAAGGTAGCCTCATCTCCGCTGTCCATGTGGTAAACAGTGTGGCCATTGACTTAGTGGCGGATATTGTCATATTCCTCGACCGGAAAAAATCAGCGATATCCACGAGATAGTGGTTCAGCCTCTCGCAAATGTCATCAATTTTAGGTCCTGACGCCACAATTGTGCAATCATCCGCATATGTCACGATATTTATGCCGTCCGGTGGGCGTGGAATTCCAGAGAGGTAGAGGTTAAACAGTTCCGGAGATATCACCCCTCCTTGGGGAACTCCCTGTTTAACTCTACGGGCCTTCGAATTCCTGTCTCTGAATTCCACGTACGACTGGCGTCCACACATATAGTTTACGATCCAACGTTTCAAACTTGGCCGGAGGGTTGTTCTCTCGATGTCCTCGAACAGCTTGGCATCAAAGTCATTTGATAGGTCTAGCGCCACCATGACTTTCCTGTTACACGGCCTGTTCTGGTTGAGTCCTTCTGCTATGTGTGCGGTGTCCATTGTGTTCTAACCGGGTATCTATTAAAATAAAAAGAGAGAAAAAGAATGTTAAGGATCCTCTATCCCTCCAGTACCAGATCGCAATAGATTTTAAAAATTCGGTTTATATTATATCTGGTATTATACTCACTGGCCCTGCTACAACAACTACAATATGTTGTACAATGTACCATTGTATAAAAGCAATAGGGCTGCTAGAACAACAACTACCATGCTAAAAGTCCAAAGATTTTAAAATTTCATTAATTCATTTATTGCCACTAAAATTATTTAATTAGTATTTATGCTAAAAATTCGTCGCTATTTATATATAAATAGAATATCCATTATTATATTATCCATATTAAAAAAATTAAACATAATAAATTGTAAGAATTAAATATTATAAAACATGAAATGACATAATAAAAGTACATATAAACATAAAATTGATACAATCAAACAATAATAATTTAATTATCATATAGCAAATTCAAAGATGCCTTATATTGTCGAAAAAAGCTACGAAAATTGGCTTCATCTTCTTTGTTTTTATTCTCATCTAATTTCAATTTTGGATAAGCACCCTTTGTATAAGTATTATAACAATTTTTTGAGCATTGAGGCATTTCATTAAATTTCTCTTTATTTTCTTCCATAATGTGATTGTTCTCCAATGAAAGGGGATCTTTAAATTGTAGAAATTCATTTAAATCCGTTTCGGTATTAATATTTTCTTTATTCTCTTCCACTACATCATTGCTATGCAATGCTAACGGATCTTTAAATTTAAGAAATTCATCCAATGCTATTTCATTTCCATTGTCGTTGATGTTAACAACATTTTCAGAGAAAATATGAAATTCAGTTTGATTTTCGTAAAGCGATTTATGTTCATTGTTTTCAGTTTTAAATATTGGCTGCAATGCTGAGGAGAAATGTAGATCGTTCATGGCTTGATCATTTGTTGTTGGAATAGCCATATCATATGAAATTACGGCATCGGCATTGGTATCAGCTGCAATTGTTGTTTGGGTGCCACTAGAAAATAGAGATTAATTTGAGAGCACAAATAATAATTATTGTATTGGAAAACCAATAAGGAAAGTTCAAAAGTCGGTCTTCACCACTTTGGGTACATACAAGAGAAGCTAATATGTCCAATATCCTGTAGATAGAATAGACATACATATCATCTTTGAGGGACTGTTGAAATGGAATCGGGTGAAATAAAATTTGTGATCTACATAGTCCTTTGAAACAATGAAAAAAAAACTATATACATTCCCTTCTGAAATCATTGAACCAGTGAGGAAAGTAGTAAAGTCGGACGGGGCCGACTATATGATACCCTTCACCACTTTGGTTATATACGACAGATGTATTCTAACATAACATGATCTATATATAAATATAAACCGACTTAGATCAATCCATAAACATGTCATTCTGTAACATATACTAAACTCTTCATTTGGATAGATAGCGAATGAAACAAAAAAAAACGATTTAAAGCAAATCCCATTCGGACACTATTTCAAATCCAATTAACATGAATTCGGTCGAATATATGAGCTATGTCAGCATTTCTACAAAAAGCAATTACGTCACTCTATACTCAATTTTGTACGTTGTGCACAATTTCGCGTCAATATGACAATAATGAGAAGTTTGAGACACCATTTAATAAAATTTGGTGCAAATCGAAAGATATATAGGGACTTTGGTACACCATTTACATTAAATCGGTCGAAAATATATGGGAGCTATATCTAAATCTGAACCGATTTCCACGAAACTTAACACACATCACTCTAGACTTAATTTAGTACGCTATACCAAATTTACCTAAAATCGGACAAAAATATATATGGGAGCTATATCTTAATCTGAACCGATTTTCTCGAAACTTAGCACACATCACTCTAGACTTAATTTAGTAAACTGTACCAAATTTCGTGCGAATTGAAAGATATATAGGGACTTTGGTGCAACTTTTGCATTAAATCGGACGAAAAAAAAATATATATATATATGCGCACCATTTACCAATTTCAATAGGGTTGATCTTTGGGTCAAAATAATGAGCTGTGCCAAATTTCATCCAATTTACAATTTAACATGGACAGACGGACGGACGGATAAATCGACTTAGAAAGTGATTATATTCTCAAAATCAACCATGCGTCTATCTCGTTTCATTTGGCCTGTTACAAACATAATAGCCTGTACCACAGTGTGGTGAAGGGTTTAAAAAGGCTATTATAAATAGTGTTTGTGAATAAATAAAATACCCTGCATTAACCTCCATTCGATGAATTTGTACTCTCTATATGAAGATATTACTGTATTCAATAGCGAATATTTTGTGCTATTATATGCGAAAACCTTCTGTACATCTATGTTACGATCTTTTCACCTTTTTTCTGAAGATCTTTTGAAGCTTTTTGAGCTTGTATGTGATGACCTACTAGCGTTCAATGTAAAAACCTTTTTGTATTCTATGTGGGGAACTTCTATGACCTGGTACTATATTTGAAATCATTATGATCTTCTATTCAAAGAAATTCTATGCATTTATGTGTAGATCTTCTAGTATATAATGTGAAAACCTTTCTGTATTCTTTGTGAAATACTTTTTATTTCTTTACAAATACCTTTTGGTTTTCAATGAGAATCCCTTATGGTATTCTATGTGAAGAAGTTCTGGACATTTATGTGACGATCTTCTGATCCTCTATGGCAAGACTTTCTGATCTCCTATGTATAGTCTTCTGGTCAATCTGTTCTTCAATGTAAAGACCTTAATGTATTCAATGTGAATACCTTCAGGCATACAGTGTCTGTTGTGAAGACCTTCTGGTCTTCTGGTAAAAGATTTAAGGTATATCGGTCTGTCTGTTGAAAACACAGGTTATAACGAACTTCCTTTATAGCGAACACATTTCCTGGTCCCGAAGTATTATGACATATTTTTCATACATATCTTTACTCTATAGCGAACTGCGGATATATGGACTTTTTATAACAAACTATTCATTCGGTCCCATCTTTCAGTTTTCAATTATTTTAATTCGGTTATAACAAACATGTTATAAATATACAAAATACATAACGATGACAAACCTGCTCAAAAATTAATGTATAGCTAACGCTGGCAGCCTTCACAAAAAATCTCAGGTTATTCAAGGAAAAAAAAAATCAGAAAAAGGAAAACAAAAATTGCATATTTTGAAACTTATATATATTTTGTCTGCTAATACTTGGTTTTGCCTTGCCTTGGATATAACGAACTACTTTTCTTGGTCCCTACTAGTTCACTATGACAATACTTTACTGTACTTGATATGGAGAATGGTATATATTTGACTCGGCCGGTTTTAGTCTCTATATAACTATAGCGTTATATTCTCAATATAAAAGTTATAGAAGCATGTGTAACTGAACTGGCGGTAATTTAATATTCCGGGTTCTGTGAGGAATCACCTCAACGGGCTGAGGTGATAGACGTGAACCCGCTGTGGTGGAAACGTTATAGGTATATTGATGGTTCTTAGTACATTGTCCAGTGGAATAGAAATCCTCTGGGTTGACAATTTACATTACAGGTGCAAGATTTGACATAACCGCCATCTAAAATTCCCCGTCGATTTTGAAAGCGCACCGTATGGCGAAGAAATTTGATAAAAATTCGTTAAACGTAATAAAAAACCTACCTATTATCGGCAATGATTTTTTGCACTTCCATAGTTCCATCAGCATAGGTTGGCAGGTATTCACCAAAAAAGTTTACCAACATGTCTTTACTAACATTTCCATAGTAACCAGCATATTCCGGTCGAAAGTCATCAGCAAAATTTAGCACCGAATCATGGGGATTTTCATAAAGATCAGCAGATACTTCAATAACCTGATCATCATCCATTGCTGTTCTGGAATTATTCCCAATGGGGGAAACTAAACGACTACGCTTATTACGTTCAGCAATTTCATCGGCAATTCTTATTTTTTCACGTAATAAACGTGTTTCATTTTGGAAATTGAAAATCGTTTGAAAACGTAAGCGACTTTTTTGAATTTCCGATAAACTTCCATGAGACATGAAGCACAAATCGCCCAGCATACGTTTGGACAATTTTTCAGAGATCATAGCCTGTGGGTTTTGTGCCTCTTTGTTGGAAGGAGATTCCTCCGCATCTTTCTTGCTATCTAAGCACTCCTTGGTGCTGACACGTCGAACATTTGCCAATAGATCCAAACGATAACGCTGAAACGATTCATGTTTATATTGCAAAATAATATCCTCATCGTCCTCGGGCTGTACATTAAGACGTTCAAATTTGAACTCCACAAGATGTTGTAGAAACACTGAACAATTTTTGATTTTAAAAATTGAACGCATCGAATTCAGGTACTCCTGCATACTGGGTAAATCCAAAAGAGCCACCGTTCCATCACGATTCCAACGCAGAAATTCACAGAAATCCATATTTATAACCAACCATAATTTATATGGAAATGGAAAGTTTATAATATCCGAACGACTAATATTGGTCGATGAAATATTTAGAATGTGAGGATCCATTTTTGTTGATGCACGAAAAAAATAGTCTTTTTTGAGAGGTCTTAAAAATTAGCCGTTAAAACTCTTGCAAATGACAAGCAAAACAAATAAAATTTATTAACATTTTCATCAACTCTGATATCGAAGTTATAGGGTTGTATTTATAGTGGCTTTGTGTTGCAGGGTGATTACGCCTGGGTTTGAAATAACAGGGCAGCTCAGAGAAATTTTATACTCTTTATAAATCTAAACATGTACATATTTATATCATTGCAGAATTATTAATTTTGCTAATTTGTATTATAGGTCCAAATACTACTAAGAAAATTAAGAGAGCATTACTTTTTTGTACTCTAACCTTTCTGTTATATAAATTTTATTATTAAATAAGTTCGGGAACACAACAAATATTTACAATATTTATTCTTGTTCTGTTTCGGTTCTGCAAGAATCTACTAGATTTTACTATTTTCTTCGATATCGTAAAGGAAAATTTGTTATCGAAGTAAAAAGTAATAAAATCTTGCAATACGGGAACAGACCATCTGTTTAGTGGGAGACACTAAGGAAGAAATCGCTGCTGCCCAAAATAAGCTCTTCGAATGCGATAGAAAATCTTCGGCCACTTGTTTTATTAACGCGTTTTCAGGAAACCAGCAGCACATTTATGATGAAGATATAGGGACTTGGAAAACTTCTTGACCTCAAAATCTGTCTGGGTAATGATTTCTATGACTTGTAAAGAGGTAAGAACAACCATTGGGATTACTACACATATCGATCAGTGGCAGGACCATTTCAACGGTCCAGAATCCTAGAATACTAGGTGTCAACTTCGATTCGATAGCACTGATAATAAAAGGAGGTGCTCCTAACCACTTACAAAGCTGTAAGTAGATCTGTCCATAACTACGCTGCCACAGTTTGGACTTCGCTCATTAGTGATTCGCAATGGAGAATGCTTCAAACCACACAGAATACTGCCCTGAGTACCGCAATCGGATGTTTCCTGATGACGACTGTGGATCATCTGCATTAGGAGGCAAGGATACTGTCAGTGCAGCAACATAAAGTGTTTCTCACCAGACAGTTCATGCTGGCATGCCATCTGCCCACTTATACCAACCACCATATAATGGTTCAGGATCCATCCCCTCGACACATCCGGAAGGACATCAAGCGATACAGCAACGACATCCAGAAAGTCATTCCATCTGACATCGACCGATTGTCACTAGCTGCATCCCTGAGAACTGTTCACACTCAGGCAGTCCAGCAAGCTGTCAATGAGCATGAACCAAATCTTGTCCTTAATTGTCAAGCTCCAACGGTAGCCGAAGCAGAGAAGACTCCACCTAGAAGAACAAGAAGCATATTAGGGCAGCTTCGGTCAGGATTGTCAGTCATCCTGAATGTGTATCAAGCGAGAGTCGCAGGGATCGAAGACTTGTGGGAAGGGACCGCATGATACAGGTCATCTATTTTCATGCCCTCTCCAGCCCACGGATCTTCGTCACATTGATGGTTAAGGCCAATAGAAGTGGCGAACTTTATGCAGCTCCCAACTTAACATTTCAGGGAAAACGAGACAGCCAAACTGTTACAACAACAACCATTGGGATCACAACAGGTCACTGCAGAATCAGATATCTTTATTCAAAATGAGAGATAATTGAGGTTGATTATTTCCGCCTATGTGAGAAAAAAGAAATCATCAAACATTTACTTTGTCGATGCCCTATTCTTCGATGCAGAAATTATAAACATTTTGAGCGATTCCAGATAGAAACGCTAACCTTTTTCTGCAAAAAAGATCCCAAAATCATGTACGGCTTTGTTTGGAAATTAACATGGTTGAATTAACATTTTTTCAGCTTCAGCTCTGTTATGATTTTAGGATGATCAAAGTCTTGTAAGTTTTTATTATAAGCCTGTACCCAATTACATCGTCAATTACAAAGTCGTTTAGTTCGGCCGGGCCGAAATATTATCATTAGGTAGACAGTTAAAAACCCGTGACTGTATAGAGGGCTATGTCATGGTAAATTTTGGTAAACATATTTGACACCTTATGAGGGATTCTCTTATATGGAGGCTATCCTAAAAATGGGTCAAATTCTGGCAGGAATATGTAGTATCCAACGATAACTACAGCCAATTCGATTAATAAGCGTGCCTATACTCCCCTAAATACCGAAATCTGTCAGATATCGGGGTAACCCCCATACCCCGATATCTCATAAAATTTAGACCAATATTTTTGTACTGAGTTAACACACCCATTAAGAATTAAAAATACAAAATCAATAAAAATACCGAAATTTTGGGAGTACCATTATATGGAAAAAGTGGACCAATATTGATAATTTTTAGTGGAGAGATTTAGTACCCACAGAAGAACCCAAAGTACCAAATTACAGAAAATTTATTCGCTCAAAATTACCAAAAAATTAGGGGGTACCGTTATGTGAGGGCTATGGCTAAACGATATAGCGTATTATTAAATTTAACCCATCCGCATATGAAAGGCAACATTTCGAGGCTATAGTGATCACAACATGTTGGAACCTAGGAAAGGGGAAATTTCTAAATCCAGTAATTTTCTGTAAAAATAAAGGATGTCTATGGATATTATGACATTGTTTCTCAACTCGCGACAATCTTTAGAGGTCTCACTTGGATATATTTTCTCTAAATGGTTCAATGTTTTCACCCTTATACCTATACCTCTTAACTTCTCCATCAACATTCACATGCATACAACCATACAAAAATACACACACTACACGTTATTCTACTAATACGTATATATTTAAATCCATCAGCTTATTTTGTTTCACTCTAAGCCAATATTATTATACATTATTTAAAAGATAAATATAAACACAATTTTTCACCACATTTTCAAAATAGTAATTTTGTGGTGAAACTGACTCTGAATGGGGGAAAAACTTCTCGAAACATACGATATCATCAGCATCGCTCATTTAATAAAATTCTTTATATATTAACAATGAAATAGTTACGTTTAATTGTTTAATGTTGTGTAGCATCATAATATTTGCATTCGGATATTTTATTACTGAAGAAGACAAGAGCATAAAACTTTTAAAAAGTTATTCATTTTAATAGGGTTGTTGTAGTTGTTGGTTTTAATTTCTTTTATTTAAATTAAATTTACGAGTGTTTTAAAAACACACATATCTTCTAGTTTCTTTCGATTTCTGTACTATACACTTGATTTAACACACAGCACGTTGCTTCTGTTGGCTATTTTGTTTGTTAACGGCTGATATACATTTGGCCATTGTGGGGGAGGCTCTGGATACAGCATCGGTCATGTAGTAGTCACGCAGTTCCTTAAGTTTAATATCAATCTTAGTGTTATCGACATTTTTGGTCTGTAAAGAGGAGAGAATTTTATAATAAAATAAAACATATTTGACATATAGAACAAATAATGGCATACCTCAGCTACTTGATCAGCAACACCGTTGTATGTTTCAGCAGGTTCCAATTTGCCCCAACGGGTCAAATGAGGTGCAATGTCTTCAAGGCGGTTGCGCAATTCATCGAGGGTATCGTAGGGTAGAGGAGTTCCTACAAGTAAAAGAACACACATAAATAAATTGAAAATAAATATTCAACAATTCTAAAAATAGCCTTCTAAATAAAAAAAATACAATAACATCAGCAAATTACAAATAGGCTGATTAGATTTACTTTCAAACCAGTGTGTAAATATTTAAATATAAAATTCATAAAATTCACAATTAACCACATACCCTCCCCTGAGCCAAACAACAACCATTACTTACCAGCAACTTCAGAAAGTGCACGCAAAATCTTCCAGTCTTCGCGAGCCATGCCTGGTGGAGAAACAGCTGACAAAGTTTGTTGGGCACGACCTTCAGTGTTGACATATGTGGCTTGTTTTTCAGTATAAGCGGCACCGGGCAACACAGCATCAGCAATGGATGCACCATTGTCACCATGATGGCCAATATAGACAACGAAACAGTCCTTGGGCAATTGATCGCGGGAAACTTTACCAGCATCGGCACCCAACAAGAACAAAACTTTAGGTTGGGCTTTGATGGCATTTTGGTAACCGGGTTGGTAGCCAACATCATAGGCGCCAGTTTGGGCGGCATTTGTTTGCAAAACGTTCAAAGCATTCCAGTTCTATGTAAATAAATATATAATGTATTTGTATAACTATATACCAAAAGCAATTTTAAACTTACAGGCTTGTTCAATTTCTTGCAGTAGGCACTGACTGTGGCCAAAATGCCGGAACCATCAGCACGTTCCAAAACATCGGCACCAATAATGATGGCGGGCTTCTTGGCACCTTCCAAAACCTTGGAGAAGGCATGAGAACCTTGGCAAACACGGGTAACCAAACCAGCATCATCGCCCAAATTTTCATGTTTGTATGAGAGATCAACTTTGGGACCAATCGAGGCAATTTCCAATTCATTGTGGACATAGGCCTTGCGCAAACGGGTATTAACCAAAGGAGCCTCATAACGGGGATTGGTACCAATCAACAAAACAGCGTCGGCTTCTTCCAAAGCTAAAAGAAATTAAAAATTAAAAATAATCAAATATATTTCTCAGAGAATTTAAACTTACCAGCAATGGAACTGTTGCACACATAGTTGGAACGCAAATCAATGCCAGCACCCTTGGTAGCAAAACCTTGTTCTGTGCACAATGTTTCGGCACCATTACGATTCAACAAATCCTTAAGGGCCACCATCGATTCAACATCAGCCAATTGGCCAACAACACCGGCTACAGCGCCCTTGGCATTCTTCAATGCCTTGGCGACAGCAATCAAAGCACCTTCCCATTCAACAGCTTGCAATTCACCATTTGGCATGCGTACCATGGGTGCAACCAAACGTTGGCGTTTCAAACCGTCACAGGCGAAACGTGACTTATCAGCCAACCATTCTTCGTTGACCTCTTCGTTTTCACGTGGCAAAATACGCAAAACTTCATTGGTACGGGTGCTAACAACAATGTTACTGCCGACAGCATCCAAGACATCGATACTGCTGATCTTACGAATTTCCCAAGGACGGGCAACAAAACTATAAATAAAAACATTTTTGCAAATAAAAAATTTTGAAAGTAAGAGTCGGTCTTCACATTTTTAATTTCCACATGAGTATGAGGGTATTATGTATACCTTATATTGCTACTAATTTTAGGATACTTATTATTGAAAAAGGATCGAAGTGGCAGTAACTTCACATTCCAAATTATTGGTGGGCAAAAAGTTTTTCGTAGAAAATTGTCAATTTATGTCCTTGTTTAAAAAAGGTCGATATTTCCAACCGGAATCTATAACTTGGTATTCCGTTTTCTATGACTATGAAACCTGCCCGTAGAAAATTAATAATAATCCTCATAATTTTAGGATCATGGACTGCCCAACAAATAGTGGCTTTGTTGCAGTCGATGTAGTGACGAAAAGGAACATCTGAACATCAAAAATTACGTCTTTTGTCCTCTTAGTATTGACACGCCGCCCATTCATACTTAGAACTACTCTAAATAGTGGTCAACACTATTTGCTGTGAATATTTCATTAATTCTTATATAAAAAAATCCACAACATGTGTTTATATAAATAGCTGATCATATTGACGTCACTCTAAAATTAAAATATTATAGTAAAAACAGAACACTGCATACCTGTAGGGTTTGTTGGTCAAGGCACCAACGGGACACAAATCAATGACATTGCCGGACAATTCACTGAGGAACAATTTCTCAACATAGGTACCAATTTGCATGTCATTGCCACGACCAGTTGTACCCAAATCATCAACACCGGCAATTTCCGAAGCGAAACGTACGCAGCGGGTGCAATGAATGCAACGGGTCATAATGGTTTTAACCAATGGTCCAATGTCCTTATCCTCAACAGCACTGAAATAACACAACTCATTATTTTTTAATATTCAAACATATTTTCAGCTCATTTGCATTACCGCTTTCCACTATGATTGATATCGGTGAAACGGGAACGATCTGAACCGAAGGCCATAGCTTGATCCTGCAAATCACATTCACCACCTTGATCACAAATGGGACAATCCAAGGGATGGTTCATTAGTAAAAATTCCATAACACCTTCACGAGCTTTGCGGGTCATATCGGAGTTGGTCTTGATGCGCCATCCTTTCATGACAGGCATGGCACAAGCAGCCACAGGCTTTGGAGACTTTTCAACTTCGACCAAGCACATACGGCAATTGCCGGCAACAGCCAAACGTTCATGGTAGCAGAAACGGGGAATTTCAACACCAATCATGGCAGCAGCCTAAAATAGACGTAAAAATTGGTCATTTATTGTCTGGTATGATCCGAAAATGTTCACTTACCTGCAATACAGTGGTTCCAGGTGCCACTTTAACGGGAATGTCATCAACAAAGACTTCAATCTTTTCGGGTGCTTTGGCTGGTGTCTGGGCAAGGGCGGCACTGGTACGCACCGCTTTGCTGGCAATTTGATGTGTGGGCGAGCCCAGTGTGCCCAGGGCCTTTACAAGCGGTGCACGAATCATATTCTGCAAGTATCAAATAAAGGGCACAAATTTGCATTAATTCCCATATTCCTTGTAACCGTTCCTTTTTGCCAAGTGAGACAATCATAATTACATAAGTACCAAATGCCAGTACAAATCGATGATCGGATTCTTCCGAAATGTTCTTTATTTATAACTTAATTATTGTTTATGCATGGGAAAAGTAAATTGGATATTCATTTTGGAGTCGCCATTATATTTTCCAAAGATTTTTAATTCTTTTTTTTGGAGAAATAACTTACCCTAAGATTATGAAAATATACTAGAGCAGCCGAGTAAAATATAGCGGATGGTTATTTTTTTATGATTTTGACAGATGCGTTGACATATGGCTACTGTGTTGCCAACCACAGAGATGTTGTTGTTAGTGCTAACGTAATGTGCGCACATTAAGGTAAATTGTATTGCGTTATTTTTGTTTGTGTGTGCCCATGCACAAGAGGCAAAACATTACAATTTTAAAGAGAAAAATTGAAAATAAAAATTCTGGAAATAGTAGATTTTTTAAAGTTTTGGAATTCACCTCAAATTGTCCTTGTTGTACTTATATTAATAAAAGAACAAAGTTATTGACTGACCGACTTAACGATTCACCAACGCCCAGAGGAAGCGGCTGATGCTAGAATCTTTAAATTTGAGGATTAATCTTAGTCCAAAGGTGTCAGATAAGGCTTCGCACTAGAACGGCAAGAAAAAAACAAAAAATTTCTAAATATGGTAACATTTGTATTTGCCGAATCGGTGGAGCTAGAACTCTGAAATTTGGATTAAGGGTAACTGATGGAGTGTGGAGGATAGATATGGAGTGTTTTGGATATTCAAACTATAAGTATCCAAAAAGTTCTAAATTTGCAACAAATTCGTAATTTGTGAATACGAATCAAAGTTTAGAAAAAGGATCGATATTAGGAGGTTGAACCAATTGAGCTGGAATTATGAAATTTGGAGTTAGTATCACGGTTGGGGTACGTCGGAAGTTTTGGAAATTTCTACAAATGTGTACTAAATGGTACTAAAGAAACTCCTTGGGTTTCAATGATGCTTGCCCCACGTTGGGCGTCAATAAAGCAGCTCCTTGGGTTTCAATGAAGCTTGCCCCACGTTGGGCGTCAATAAAGCAACTCGAAACACCAAGATTTAAAATAATGTTGGCTACTCCTTGTTTAGGAACTACTTCCAGCTTATGATCTAGTCCATCAACTTGGGCAAGCGTGGGTAATGATCTTAAAGCCTTCAGTGTTCGCTAAACAAATTAGAGCCGGGTAGTCCAGGACTCGGATTGTAGCGATTTTATTGAAATTTGATTGAGCTTAGGTACTAATTATGAGAACAAGATTCTTATCTAGTATTGGTTGTGTAAAAAGGTAGTGATATCAGTGATGTAGTTTTTAGTACTATTTACAAAATATTTACATAGTTAACCGTTAATTTCAAATGTTTAAAACAGAGTTGCATTTAAATATGGAAATCATAAGATCAATAAAACGTGTTTACACTATTGTAATTAAAATTGAATAAAAATAAAGTTGATCCACTTCAGTACTAAATTTGGATTTAGGTGAATAGGTATCGCTGACACACTGATATTTGGAAAAGAGATTATTTTTGGAGTGTGGGATTTGGGGTGCGGATGTAGTTTTGAAAATTTGTACTGGTGGGTTCTAAATGGTACTAAATTCTATACTATTTGCATTTAGAGCTGGAATAGTAAAAATTATAAATATATAGTTTTTTGAATTTGTATATATGGGCAATATTGCCAATTTTTTAATATTCCATTTTCAAAAAATCAGCTTTTTTGTTTTTGTGGCACATCAATGATTTTTGGTACACATATAGAGAAAAAGGTTCTGACCGAAACCGTTCGCGATCAAATTTTTGGTTGATGCGCGCAAAAGTTATCGAGGTTTTAATTCTGGGGATAAGAAAAAAATCTTAAAATTACGCCGTTTATTATATAGACCAAAAACGTGGATATATAGCATTTCCACATTAAATGAAACCTTTTACAAATTAAATGAACCCTTTTCCAAATTAAATGAAACCTTTTCCAAATTAAATGAAACCTTTTCCAAATTAAATGAAACCTTTTCCAAATTAAATGAAACCTTTTCCACTTGAAATGAAACCTTTTACAAATAGAATGAAACCTTTTCCAATTGAAATGAAACCTTTTACAAATAGAATGAAACTTTTTCCAAATTAAATGAAACCTTTATTCTTATCTACGGAAATATAATATTTGCACTAATTTTAAACAAATATTTGAAAATTAAATCAATGAATATTAACAAATATAGTTGTATGGCTATGTAATTAACATAAATATTCTTTAATTCGGTGTGATTTCATTTAATATCTTTACTACATAAAACTAAATAGTAATACAAACTGGGGTATTTCTTGACATTTTAATAAATAAATATTTAAGAAGAAGAATTGAATACCCGGTCCTAAATGCGAAATACATATTTGACTTAATAAATTGTTGATGATAAGGTAACTGCTTATCTTAATGAAGGGGTTCCCGACTTGCAGCTTGTGGGATTTTCAAAACCATGTCCATAACGTAGTTAGAACAATCTTGCCGAGTAAGCTTTTGAATACTTCGCTCGATTACATCAACAATGTTATGTTCCATTGAAACGTCACACAGCTCAGCTCTTGGACATAATTGTATTTTTGAAAATGCATTTTCGGTTGGATTTAGCATTGGAGAATAAGGCGAATTTTTTATGTCATGTCGCTTGTGTATTTGAGCGTTATTTTCCAACTCTGGATTGATTTTCTCAAAAAAAAAAAATTTCTATAAATAATTTAAATCTGTCTGCATTGACACTGGAATTAGAAACGATTGTGTGATGTACAACTCCCGCGTTGTTTATTGCTGCAATTATGGTGACATTACGACCTCTGACCGTAGGCAACACAAAGTGTGCTCTTGTTCCTTGTCTTGAACGGGCTTGGGTTCTTCGTATGTGAAGATTAAATCCACACTCATCAATGAATATAAATTTTTTCTCCTTGTTGGGGTATCCATTTTGTAAAGTCTTGAGCATATTTTTGTCTCAAGCCTAATGTTCTGGAGTCATTCTTTCGTTCTGTTTCAATAGAGGCCATATTAAACGTAATTTTTAATTTCCGTAATCCATATTCTATGCAGCTTGTGGAAATATTTATATCATTTTCTCTCAACAGTTTAGTTTTTATGGCTTTGAGGGTAATTCCAGGTTGACTTTCTATATAGAACTCGATCAGACTTAAAACTTGTGGTGTCAACAACTTAGTTCTATTTCCTCCACGCTTATTTTCCTTCAATGTTCCAAAAATAAAATTATGTGTGACGTTTCAATGGAACATAACATTGTTGATGTAATCGAGCGAAGTATTCAAAAGCTTACTCGGCAAGATTGTTCTAACTACGTTATGGACATGGTTTTGAAAATCCCACAAGCTGCAAGTCGGGAACCCCTTCATTAAGATAAACAGTTACCTTATCAATAACAATTTATTAAGTCAAATATGTATTTCGCATTTAGGACCGGGTATTCAATTCTTGTTCTTAAATATTTATTTATTAAAATGTCAAGAAATACCCCAGTTTGTATTACTATTTATTTAGTTTTATGTAGTACAGATATTAAATGAAATCACACCGAATTAAAGAATATTTATGTTAATTACATATCCATACAACTATATTTGTTAGTATTCTTTGATTTAATTTTCAAATATTGGTTTAAAATTACTGCAAATATTATATTTCCTTAGATAAGAATAAAGGTTTCATTTAATTTGGAAAAAGTTTCATTCTATTTGTAAAAGGTTTCATTTCAATTGGAAAAGGTTTCATTCTTTTTGTAAAAGGATTCATTTCAAGTGGAAAAGGTTTCATTTAATTTGGAAAAGGTTTCATTTAATTTGGAAAAGGTTTCATTTAATTTGGAAAAGGTTTCATTTAATTTGGAAAAGGGTTCATTTAATTTGGAAAAGGGTTCATTTAATTTGTAAAAGGTTTCATTTAATGTGGAAATGCTATATATCTTCCTCCGTAAAATAAGAATATGAATATATTATAACAATTGCGATAAAGTTGCACATCTTCGCGAAATATGAGAAAAATGATAAAAATAAAGGAGATTACGTCAATATTTTTATTATATTAATGACATACACACACCTAAAAATTTATATAAAAATATCTACATAGTCAAAACACCATGATGAATCAAATGATATCAAAATCACACAAGTCCGTGTAGCGATTTGTAAATCAGAGCGACAACAAATCAAGATATTGAGGAAAAATATTTGTTTTTGGTTCGAAAAAATAATGTCATCATATTTATTTTATTAATTTTATACAAGAAATTTCAGAAAAAATGTTGGGGTTATTCTGCTATTTTACCCGAATTTCGCCGAAAAATTGGCATATATAATAATATAATCCGATAAATCTTCTATAAATAGAAAAAAATCTTAAAATAAAATAATATTATGAAATATACATTTTAAATTGCGTCTAAATCGCGTAATTCTCTGAATCATTTGATGCGCATGCGGTTTCTAGGAAGTACTGAAGTTTATCTTCCAATCCATATATATTTTGCGAAATTTCATTTGACGGCTAAGATGTGCCACACGTTGAATTGAAGTACCCAAAAAATCGTAAAACGCGAATAATCTCCGAAAACCTCATATGCCATTAACGCGCATCCGATTTCGGTGTGCACCCTAAAAAAATACATCGATCTATATCGATTTCAATGTGGTCCATTAAGAACCATGGATGTGCCAGCTCGAACTATTTTTGAGATAAATTGGGTACATCTCTCTTTCGGCTGAAGTTTTTAAAGTTTTGTTTTCGCAAAAGTTAAAAATCCACATCAGGTCATTTATTGTAACGGAAATGATCTACAGAAAACGCAAATAAATCCGCGATATTTTCAAAAACATTTTTGCCGTGTTTTTGGAAGGCCAGTTCCCGCCGTTCTAGTAGATGGATTTTCACGAAGAAGATTTTATATCATCCGATACGTAAAAACCTTATTGATCGCGGGTACCTATATCATTCAGTTGACAAATCTAAAAATTTGGCCCGAAAAATAGGTTTTTTAGAAATTTGATCGCACAAAATTCTCACCATCGGATGAGTAGTACTCTTAAGCTGTGCATACTACATACACAAAATACATATCAAATTACGCAGATTCGCGACTACAATAATCTTATAGTCGATTTTTATAAATTCCTGTTTGCGTATTAAAGCTGGAAGTAAAATTCAAAAAACACTCAAAATCGAGCTTCAAAATCATTTAAAGGTAGATGCAGCTAAAATTTTGAAAAATAATACATAAGAGACGTAGTCCCCATTTTGTTGGCTTCTAGTTTTACTTTGACACGAAGACCGTGAAATGAGTGGCTTAATTACAAATCGATAGAGAACATAAAAAACTGGTTCGCCTCAACCTGTTTTTACACATTTTTTTACATTAAAGTAGGCAGAGCTTCCACCAAAATAAAGTTTGGAGATCGATATCATGAGCAGTTTGCCACGACAGACCAATTAACCCAAAACTATTCACTTTTTCTCATATACTTAAGTAATTCCCGAGTTATAAAGGGGTGAACCTCCGCTTCAGCTATGTTCAAAAATTGGCAATATTGCCCATATATATATATATATTTATTAGTACTAAATGTTACTAAATTTCGTACAATTTGAATTTTGGGAGAACCGATAAAGTTAGAATCCTGAAATTTGGAGTTAGGATTCCTGTTGGGGTGTAGGATTGGTAGGTAGTTTTGGAAATGTATGCTAAATGGTACTAAATTTGATACAATTTTAATTTAGCTGAACCGATAGTGCCGAAACACTAAACATTTGAAATTAATATTACTATTGGAGTGTGGAATTGAGATATGTAACCAAATTTGGAAATTCGTACTTATTTTTACAAATGGTACTTACAAATAGTACGTTTACATTTAACCGGATTTCGTTAACCCAGTGGGTTTCAATTGTCAATTCCTTTGCATATATGTCAAATAAATCCTCATAATTTAGGTTAACCCGTTAAAAAAAATCTAATGTATATGCCGTTTAAATTTGGTACAGCTTGGATTTAGGGTAAACCGAAGGTCTAGAATCCTGAAATTGGGAAATAAGGTTTCTAGTGGAATGCATGATGTAGGTTGGCATCTGATACAACAAATAAGGCAATCTCATGCTCACATATGACTATTTTTTTTTTTTATTTTGACAACCCTTCATTGTCAAATGATTGTCAATGGCATACCTTATAAATATGTGTATGTGACAAATACATATATTTGTCAGTTTCAAAACGAAAAGAGCATCTATTTAGAAATTGAAAATGTTCTGAAAACAAATTTATTTTTAAAAATACTTTCCGAATACGTGTGAAAACTGGAGAATCCAATTTTGTAACAAGCCGCCCAGAGGTAAATCATACAATATGTATTAATCAGTTAAAAATAACCTTAAATATTTCCAGAAATGATGGTACTTTTTAAGCAATGACGTCTTCATCGTACAAACGTGGTTGAAAATCATTTATCAGCAGCACAACCACCAGCAGCAGCATCCACATAATGTACATGCTGGAGAAAGTGAATTACAGATAATCAATGTTGAAACGGAGCATGCCGAATTGCATCACATTGAAAAGGAACACGATCACATGGAGACCCTCAATATTCAGATTACATCGAACGAAGATATGAATTATTCCACAAGTAATAGAAATGATAATATGAATGGTGGTACTGTTGCCACAACAAATGCCTCGTCCAATACAACAACAATGCATACAATACCGGACGCATCATCAAGATGGTACTTTTTAAGCAATGAGTGAAATAAGCTTCGTTGATTTAGCTTCCTTGCTTTAACGCTGTTTTTTAGAAATACTCAATGTGTTTTATTAAAGGAGAGATGTTCGTATATAAGAGGGTTAGTGTTCTATCTGGAGGTATTCTTATAGAAGATTTCGGGTCTCCTTATGGAAGAGCTGAAGGTATTTTTATATAAGAGCTTGAGGTCTTCGTATAAAAGAGTTTAAACGGGATAAAGATGATGTGGATGTATTTTTAATGAAAAGCTGGTCTTCTTAAAGTGAATATCTAATATTTTTATTTTAATTTGTATTCAATCTTTTGGTACAACCACCACGGGCGCGTTTGAATTTACATTCCATGAAGCGAACGTAGGGGCGGGTGTGAGGTTAACCAATTGCCTTTTCGAAATGTATGGAAACAATGCGAGTGGTGCGTTTGCCTTGCATCAAGAATCAGTAATCACCTTTAAATCCAGCCTTCAAGATGGGTTCGCAAGCAGTGTTTTGAGCACGTTTATTCTGGTTGTTGGGCTGCTTTTGCACTTAAACGGCAAATACATTAGAACTTTTTACCGGGTTAACCTACTTTATGAGGATGTATTTGACATATATCCAAAGGAATTGACAATTGAAACCCACTGGGTTAACGAAATCCGGTTATATGTAAACGTATTATTATGGGCACTAAATTTGAGACAATTTAGGAGAACCAACAGAGCTGGAAACCTAAAATTTGGAATTACAAGCTCATTTATATACAATAGAAAATTCAGGATTTAGGGTTGTTGCGTCATTTATTTCCTAAAACCGGCGCAATTTTGCGTCATTTACTATACAAAAATAAATCCCGATTCCAGCGTTATTTATTTTAAATAACACACGAAAATATATGGTATAGTCACAACTTTTTATAATTATAATAATTTTTCTTATTAATAAAATTTATCGCCATTATGCACTCTACATTGGAGTTAACCTTTTTTATATAATATTTGTTTAAGAGAAACCCGAAAATACGTATTTGGCGAAATAAGAAAAAAAAATATAAATATAAAATTCCAATCTTATTTTTTCTTATAATAATTATGGTAACAATTTTTACTTTTGTAAACAAGTGTGAGTAGTGTGTGTATATGCAAACAAATACCAAATATTTTAAGGATTTCATAAATCCACATCAGGTAAAGTGCGTAACTGAGCTAAAATGTACTTGTACGTAAAATGTGTTGTCAATGTTGGGTATACCACTTTAGTTATTGCCACAATGAATATCAGATTTTCTCGTGGGTTGGCAACGATTGAATCAGCCGGTTATATACAAACAAATGACCAGCTGTTCATAATATATAAACAAAAACCATTGTGCCGCTTGATATTTATTTTTTGCATCGTATTTTTAAATCTCTAGGCACAATCGTCCGAATAAACAATTAAATATTTTATGTTATTTATAAAAATCAAGAGAGATATAGTTTTTGAATGTTATGTGTAATTTGTGCCACTGGTAGGCTACATGTGCATATGTCTGAGGTGTCTAAAGTTACCGAAAAACACAATTAAAAATGCTGTAGGGTTAAATCTCTCAATTCCCAAGGATGAAACTCAATCCCCGCCGAACTTACCGACTACTTACTTGGACCTAGAAAAAAAAGCATTGACTGCAAAAACACTTTTGCCGTGTTAAACACACTTCAGAGAGCAAACCCACAATATTCGACAAGAAAAAACCACATCCCCAATATATGTATTTGGAACAATCGTGTCGTTTTTACAAAACCAATGTTGAAAAAAGGGAGTCAGACTATTTTCTACAAGAAACAAAGTCAATGTAGATCCCCTTTCCACACACACATACAAAAATGTATTTGCTTCGTTAAAGTCGAGGTTTCCTTAAGGTGAATTCTCAACATTTGAGTTTTTATTTTCAATATTTATTATTTTACAAAAGAATTACTGATATTAAGCAATTTCAGCAATTCATTTTGTATATTGAGAGAGGACTATTCGAGGAATGCAGTATAGATTTTAAATATATTTTTTTCTATCTGTGAATTGTTTATTTTGAAAGTGATTTAAGTCCATTTTTTATTATATTGAGTTATTTAAGTATTTCTGTTTGATTTGTTTCAAAAATATTGTTAAGTGGTATTAATTTTGTTTGGGGCTTTCTGCTCTTTAACACGATAACATAATATAACATAATACATTTTATCGTGTTTAAGTTTTGTAAACTTTACTAGAAGCCCGTGATATGTATCAGAACCCAAAATGAACTTAAACCACTTTCAAAATAACTGAGTTGTTTATTTGTTGTAGCAGCTCTACTGATTTACACAATGCGGTGACAGATATTGCTCAAGTAAGAACCGGGTTGTTTCGAATCGTTGACCCAATTGTGGAAATAGTACTTTTATTTGAAGTTGTCGCTGCACTCAATAGGCTGAGCTGATAGTCGTTGGCTGAGTAGGACTCGGATCATTATTACAAGAAAATTGTTTTTTTTTTTTTATATTATTAAAAGTCAAAATCATTATAGACTAGGCCTCTGTCGGTGATAACCTCTGTGTGTCTATTTATGGTCCCTTTGCCACATGGTAATGTTGAACCAGTTTATCACGATAATAGACGAAATCTAATAATACTTTAAAGAAGATTGAAATATACCGAACATTTTATGCTACAATAAAAAAAGTGAAGAAACAACTCGAAAATCATTTAAAATGAATTCTTCGATGCGAAAAATAATTTACTACGAAAATATCTTGGAATTTAAAAAGTCTATACAAAGTACACTAACTGTAAAGGAATTGAATAACTGGCAATTGTGTAGAACTTGCTTAAGCGAAACTAATGACAACGATGTGGATGTTGAAAAGATATGTATTATGGATGCAGAAACAGGTCGCCTATTGAAGTTTAATGAAATGATGGCAAAAATTACTACAATACAGGTAAGGCGCCTTGGTATGCTCATATGGTTTATTATGTTACATTTAATTAATATCTTACAGATAGACAAAGGAGATGATCTGCCTTCGAAGTTGTGCAAAGAATGCTTGGAAAAAGTAACAAATTTATATTATTTCTCGATACAAATAGAAAAAGCTCAAAATGTTCTCAGCAAATTGTTCGACAGTGTCCGTAATGTTGCAACAAATACTGTGAAGAGTAAAGATGATGTTTGTACAATTACTGAGAGCAATGCTGGAGATGAAAATGATGCATGTACAAGTACTACGTCGCAAAAAGAAGAAGCCGTTTCCGTGCACCATATAATAGTAAATGTTTGTGAAAATGAGCTGGACAAAGAAATTAATAATTTAATAAAAATGGACGTGGAAGATAGTACAACAACTAATAATAAACAAATGAATCAACAGATTTCTAACTCAAATGAAGATGGTTATTTCAATGACACACAAGGTTCTCCATCTGATGGCCAAAATGACGATACTGATATTTATAATACCGAAGATGATATGGAGCAAGAAATGGTAGATGAGATTTATACTATTGAGGAAGACAATGATGAAAGCCTAACAATAAACTGTGTTATTAATCAAGAGGAACGTACAAATGATCGACATGAAGTTAAGCACAAACAGCCTAGAATTAAAAAACCATTACTTAAGAGTACAGAATGTGGAATTTGTAAAAAGGTATTCAGAAAAAAACATTTTATTATATCTTCTATGATATTATAATTATAAAATAAATATATTTGTATCCCTATTTTTTAGGTATTCAAACGTCAACGTGATCTTGTCGCTCATGTCAAAGATGAACATCCAAATAGTAAAGCATATCAGTGTCGTGAATGTCTGGCATATTTCTCCCATACACAGTCGTTATCACGTCACATGAATATCCATAAACCAGTTGTACATAAATATAAGTGTAAATTTTGTTCTAAACCCTTTTTACGTCCCGATGATTTACAACGTCACATACGAACACACACCGGAGAGAGGCCGTATCAATGTACAATTTGTGAGAAATCCTTTAAACAACACAGTGAAGTTAAACAGCATCTTTTGACGCATACAGGACAAAAAAGTTACAAATGTGATAAATGTGATCGCCAATTTGCATCACGTAATAGTTTGTATTTACACAAGAAAACACATCAATAGCACTAATTGAAGTGAAATCCGGGAGTAATTTGTTTTGTTTGATTTGTGCATTAAGTTTATGAGTTGTTACTTTGATACGTGGTTTTTACCTAGGATTAAACAAACTCTTAAAAACTTAATCACATAAATAATAATAAAAAAATAAATTAAAAATGTATTCTTCTTAAAGGTTAAAAGGTCGTTTACATTTAACCGGATTTGATTAACCGAGTGGGTTTAAATTTTCAATTCCTTTGAATACATGCCAAATAAATCCTCATAAATGCCATATAAAAGGATGTTTTGCATCCAGGGCATGTAGAGCAGACTACGAGAAGTTGGAAAACTTAAACGCCACTTTTTTTACATTTATTTTTTATTCGCCTGGAAACCGATATGTCAAATTATTCCCATGAGAAAAATCGGTTAAAAATTTATTAGTTCCGTAAAATAAGCGGAACGTTTAGGTGGGATGATTTCAAAACTTAGACCTATGAAAAAAAATTTTTAAATAAATTTTGTATATAAGTCAGCCTTCCAGAACCTTTTATATAAATTTACACCCATATCGTCTACAAAATATTGAGAATGAGATGATTCCGTGATAATTTTTGATAGGAAGATTTGAAAACCGGTATTTTGGGCGTAGCGTTATATGGGGACTTTCCTAAAAAATGATCAATATTGATTGGAAGATTTACCCAACCTAAAATAACAAATTACAAATAATTAGGTAGAAATAGGTGTCCAAAACCATCAAAATGCCAATATTGATTTTTCGTACGCAGATCTGACTGCAACTCAATTTGTTATATCCTCTACCATAAGGTGGAGTGTACATAAAGTGTGTCATTCCATTTGCCATATTCACCGAAATATTTACCAAATACACCATGAAGTATATTATCGAGGTTTTAATTTTGGGCATAAGAAAAAAATCTTAAAATTACGCCGTTTATTATATTGACCAAAAACGTTGATGTATATCTTCCTCCGTAAAATAAGAATATGAATATATTATAATAATCACGATAAAGTTGCACATATTCGCGAAATATGAGAAAAATAAAAAAATATAGCAGATTACATCAATATTTTCATTATATTAATTACATACACACACCTAAAAATTAATTTAAAAATATCTACATAATCTAAACACCATGATGAATCAAATGATGTCAAAATCACACAAGTCCGTGTAGCGGTTTCTAAATCACAGCGACAACAAAACAAGATATTGAGGAAAAATATTTGTTTTTGGTTCGAAAAAATAATGTCATCATATTTATTTTTTTAATTTTATACAAGAAATTTCAGAAAAAAATGTTGGGGTTATTCTGCAATTTTACCCGAATTTCGCCGAAAAAATTTACATATATAATAATAATCACTTTTTGTGTATAAGTATACGCCTTGCGGATTATATCAAGACCCTTCCGATAAATCTTGGGGTTCTATAAATAGGAATAAATCTTTAAATAAAATAATATTATGAAATATACATTTTAAATAGCGTGTAAATCGCGTAATTCTCAAAATCATTTGATGCGCATGCGGTTTCCAGGAAGTACTGAAGTTCATCTTCCAATTCATATATATTTTGCGAAATTTCATTTGACGGCTAAGATGTGCCGCACGTTACATTGAAGTACCCAAAAAATCGTAAAACGCGAATAATTTCCGAAATCTCCATATGCCATTAACGCGCATCCGATTTCTGTGTGCACCCTAAAAAAATACATCGATCTATACCGATTTCAATGTGGTCCATTAAGAACCATGGATGTGCCAGCTCACACTATTTTTGAGATAAATTGCGTCTAAATCGCGTAATTCTCAAAACCATTTGATGCGCATGCGGTTTCCAGGAAGTACTGAAGTTTATCTTCCAATCCATGTATATTTTGCGAAATTTCATTTGACGGCTAAGATGTGCCGCACGTTACATTGAAGTACCCAAAAAATCGTAAAACGCGAATAATTTCCGAAATCTCCATATGCCATTAACGCGCATCCGATTTCGGTGTGCACCCTAAAAAAATACATCGATCTATACCATTTCAATGTGGTCCATTAAGAACCATGGATGTGCCAGCAAAATCTATTTTTGAGATAAATTGGGTACATCTCTCTTTCGGCTGAAGTTTTTAAAGTTCTCTTTTCGAAAAAGATCAAAATCCGTATGAGGTCATTTATTGAGCGGAAATGATCCACAGAAAACGCAAATAAATCCGCGATATTTTCAAAAACATTTTTTGCCAAATTTCGTGTTTTTGGAAGGCCAGTTCCCGCCGTTCTAGTAGATGGATTTTCACGAAGAAGATTTTATATCATCCGAAACGTAAAAAACCTTATTGATCGCGGGTACCCATATCATTCAGTTGACAGATCTAAAAATTTGGCCCGAAAAATAGGTTTTTTAGAAATTTGATCGCACAAAATTCTCACCTTCGGATGAGTATTACTCTGATGCTGTGCATACTACATACACAAAATACATATCAAATTACGCAGATTCGCGACTACAATAATCTTATAATCGATTTTTAGAAAATCCTGTTTGCGTATTAAAGCTAGAAGTAAAATTAAAAAAAACACTCAAAATCGAGCTTCAAAATGTCAGCATCATTTAAAGGTAGATGCAGTGAAAATTTTGAAAAATGATACATAAGGGGCGTAGTCCCCATTTTGTTGGCTTCTAGTTTTATTTTGACATGAAGACCGTGCAATGAGTGGCTTAGTCACAAATCGATAGAGAACATAAAAAAACTGGTTCGCCTCAACCTGTTTTTACACATTTTTTTACATTAAAGTAGACACATCTTCCACCAAAATAAAGTTTGGAGGTCAATATCATGAACAGTTTGCAACGAGAGATCAATTAACCCAAAACTATTCACTTTTTTTCATTACTTAAGTAGTTCCCCAGTTATAAAGGGGTGAACCTCCGCTTCAGCTATGTTAAAAAATTGGCAATATTGCCCATATATATTCTTGATAGGAAGGAACCTATTGAAACCAAGGAAGAACCCTATTGAAATTGGGAAAAATCAGTTCAGATTTAGATATATCTCCCATATATATATTTGTCCGATTTAATGTAAACTGTCCTTATATATCATTCGATTCGCACGAAATTTGGTACAGCCTAATGATTTAGGTCCACAATGATGTGTGTTAAGTTTCCTGAAAATCGGTTCAGATTTATATATAGCTCCCATATATATTTTCGTCCGATTTCATGTAAATGATGCACCAAAGTTCCTATATATTTCTCGATTTGCACGAAATTTGGCGCAGCGCAATAAATTAAGTCTAGAATGTCGTGTGTCAAGTTTCTTAAAAATCGGTTCAGATTTGGATATAGCTCCCATATATATTTTCGTCCGATTTAAGGTAAATGTTGCACCAAAGTCACTATATACCTTTCGATTTGCACGAAATTTGGCAGAGCGTAATGAATTAGGTCTAGAATGATGTTTGTTAAGTTTCCTGAAAATTGGTTCATATTTAGATATAGCTGTCATATATATTTTCGTCCGATTTAATATAAATGGTGCACCAAAGTCCCTATATATCTTTCGATTTGCACGAAATTCGGCATAGCGTACTGAATAAAGTCTAGAATGATGTTTCATGAAATCTGTTCAGATATAGATATAGCTCCCATATAAATTTTCTACGGATTTAGTGTAGCTCCTATATATATTTTTTCCGATTTTTTGTCAATTGTGCACTAAAGCATGTGGAAAATTTTGTTGAAATCGGTTCAAATTCTGATCGAGCTACCATAAGTAAATGATGCACCAAGAACTCGAAATGTGGCCGATATGCACAAAACATACTGAAAGTTGTATAACCTAACCTGTGACAAGTTTCGATTAAACCGGTTTATATATCGATATAGCTTTTTTTATATATAAATGGTGCGCCAAACTTCTCATGTTTATCAGATATTTATCCATAAAATCAACGAATCTCCAATTGATATTTGCTTTATTCTCGATTTTAATTTTTCAAGATTTTCAATGGGCTGGTAAATCAATACCAATGTTAGTTAAGGTTTGTAACTTTACACATATATAATTGAAGATTTAAAATAGAAGAAAAATAATTTACAAAAAAATTTTGTTGTTGTTTTTTGTAATTATGGTGGACCTTTGAAAAAATATTTTTGGAAAATCGCCGATTTTTTACCAAAACCCAAGTAAAAAAATAAGGAAGATCTTCACCGATTGGCTTTTTCCTAGTTCATACGATAGCTATACACTCACAGAGAAACATCCCAAAATTTGAAATCGATTGGGTTATTAGTTTTTGTGTTATCGTGCCCGCCATTCGCAAAAAAATGTTTAGAGAAAAACGCATTTAAAGTTTGAGAAGCCCTTCAGCCGTCACTTGATGCTGACACAATAAATTGACTATATCTTCAAGAGTTCTTGAGATTTTCATTTGAAATTTTGTAGGCACATTCTATAATTAGTGTAGATTCGAATTATATTAACAACATTTCTGACCCCGAGAATGGGGGGGTCCCCTTAAATTAATTTACAATGTTAGGATTCATCTGTTGAATATACCCAGAGTGGTGAAGGGTATCATATAGTCGGCCCCGTCCGACTTTACTACTTTCCTTACTGGTTCTGTCTAAGATAGTGTATCGCTCATTTCAGACCGTTTGGGCTGAAATTTGTTATTTTAGGATTTCATTGGGTAAATGAATCTCCCTACCAAATAGGCTCTCCATTATTCAATACCTAGGGCATATTTATAACCGTATTTGCTATATTTTCATGTTTACATTGTGTACCAAATTTTACTACAAGATTTTTACCATGGTATAGGCCAAAATAAGGGATTTTTACTTACTTACCTGGTTTATAATAGAATGGTTGTTCCATAAGCCGAGCATAAAAAAGATTCCAAGGCGCGTCGGTCTTGTGCTCATTTCATCCAATTTGAAAGACCATTTTCCGAGATGTTGTCTTCTACTTGATCTTTCCATCGGATTCGCGGTC